ACTAGAGGAACAGGACCTTTAGGTAGTCCTTAGGCGGGTGTGGAACAACAACAACGGTCAGCAGTGCCTGGCAGTGGGTGCGTACAGCACACTGGAAGGCGAGGTCTTGGCGCATAGGGAGTTACCGTAGTAGGGGCAACGCCGGAATGGCAGTACTAGGAGAGACCTACAACATGATGAGCCTCCTAGGCGACAGCGACGAGTACAGGAACCGCCAGTTACTGCGCAGGGCCGTCGCACGGTGAATGGGCTAGTCGCGCCGCCATCTACAGCACCAGCGACGACAGATCCGGAAGGGTGATGTGGGAGCGCCAGCAAGACTGACGATGGCCTCCCGTAAGCTGATCAGGCAGGCCTAGTACTTAGATTTGTACGTATTTTGTACTATAAAATTAGTATCAACAATGCTAGCCTCGATCTGGCTTAGTATGTGTGGAATAAAGTCATTTAAAGCACTTACACAGTCAATATAAGCGTTCCGTCTCATTTAAGATATTACCTACTTAACCTGAATACCTACTCTAGGAAACTTTATAATAAAGGGATATTTAAAATAATATGCCTACCTAGGTATTTAAGCAATTCGGTATTGAACATGGAAACATGATTTGTGGTTTGCCTCTCCTCGGACTGATCGATCCGTTAACGTTCGTGCTCTAAAAGAGCTTCTATATTATATACCTCCCTATGTTCCTAGGCACCTAGGTACCTCCCTAAGTAGGTGATTTCAAGCCAAGTCTCTTATATATTACATTTTCCTATCCTTGATGTCTACCTGGGTCCTTTATATTCGTTGATTCCCTAATGATCCGCCGACAATAATCTCAAGCCGCTGCGGATTGCTTCCGGACACCACCCCGGCAGCGTTCGCTCCGTCGACGTCCACATCATCATACGGGAACGCATACCCCTTCCCGTCGGCTAGAAATTGGTGCACAAGGCGGCTGTAATGATTGGTGGGACTCTCGGCGTAGTATTGGCCACTATTGACCGACGGCTGCACGGCGCCTCCATCGACCAAGAGTGTCGATCTAGTAAATGCGGCACATAATCTGGGCACGACGGCGCGATGGATCGCGTTATCCTCCTCAGCGATTGCGAAAGGACCGGAGCTGCAGCCCCAGATGTCTGCCTCGCTAGGGCGACTGTAGCCACGATTATCACCTTGGCAGCGCAGCACCTCCTCACTGACACGGCACGGCACCAGACCTGCATCGCTTTGCGTGTTGATAAACAGGTCTTGGGAGGTGTACCTATCCCAGACCCGGTCGACGTAATGAGCGTAGTACCCTTGGAGGAGGCTAGCATTGGCTGTTTTGCTCGGCGACACGATGCGGATCGGCTGTGAATCTCGATCAACAACGCACAGCTCGTCCCATGGATGGTTGTCCTGGGTGGCTTGTACGCGTAAGGCATTGCACATCCCGGAGACGGCGTCTTTATGGGGGCCGGCTACCGTTTGGACGGTGCCATCTGCTAAGGTAAGGAATAGACCTAGAAGAAAGCCGACGAAGTCGACAAAGGATAGATTAGCGTAGACGTCAACCCCTTCCGTATACGTAAGCTCAAGAAACCCCCAGCTCACGACCGCGGAAGGATCTTCGTCGTTATACACGGACGGTTCGATGAGCTGCATTGCTGTGGCTCCGTCGTTTGTCGAGATGTAAAACGGAAGCTCGCCGGTAGCGACCCACACACGACCCGAGATGAGGGAATCGGGGATAGTTACGTCCAGATGCGGGCTGTACTCATTCAAAGGAAGCAAGATAGCGAGAGGATCTACTCTCTGATGACCAGCGCCCGAAGACAAGACAGGGTAATACCAGGTTCCGTTCGTCGTCAGGAAGACGATCGATCCCGCGCTGTCTCTTCCTGACAAGTAGGCAAAGACTGGGCTTCCCTGGTAATTATTCGTAAAAGACAACGTCAGTTGACTTGACCGAGGTTCTAGGTCATTTTGAATGAGAGGGAAGTCATGGAGCCTTGCTGCCCCCGATTCGACTGAGATCTTAGCACAGGTAATAGATTGAACAAGACTAATGAGGAACGCATACCGGGCGACCACAGCTACAGCGGCCGGCATCCGATGGGGAAGATAGTGCATGTTACGTGTACGATGCGTGAAGTGGTAACGTCTATAGCTACAGAGGATATGGTATAGCGATACGATAGATGCGGTCGATCACTTATAGAGAAAGCATGCCTTACAGCCCTGGAATAGGGCATCGAAGACGGGCGGGCTAC